ATCATACTGCTTAAAGTGCTTATTTATTGCTGAAGAGCCTACGTAGACTTCCAATAAATTATCATGGGGCCATTAAATTTATATGGAAATGGGGTACACAAGCGGTCAATAATGTTCGTTTTTTCTTACAAGCTGGTTGTGGGAATCGGGGAGAAGGTGTGGATAAGAGAAGGATGGTTACGCGGCAGGGTTTGGTGGACCCGGTCTAGGGAAGGGGGAAAAGAGGAAGGGGAGAAAGACATAGAGAATATGACTGAGCATGTACAGCTAAGGTGCTGTCGGCCATGCCACGTGGGGAGCTTATAGAAAGATATCTTGCATAAACCACGCCGGCTTCTTCGATCGGATAGCGGTTACTTCTGCTGTTGCCAGCAGGTGCTGACCCAGTGAGTTTGGATAGTTTGGTGGGACCTTATATCTCACCGTGAAGGCTCTGCTGCGTCTACACAATGTCCGGAATCAACAAGGTGGGCGAGAATTGCGCCTTTTATGCCTTTTTGCTAAGCCATGCCGGGAGGTGCTTCCTCATTCTTTTGGACAAGCGCCGACTCGTGCGAGTGAAATAGCGTTTTGTTTATGTTCAGGATAAATCCTACAAATACACGTTTGACGGAGGTAATTCCGCTTCTTCCTTTTTTGCTACTTTTTCGCCAGCTACGCTTCTTCGAGATCTCCCCACTGAGTTTCCGTTTGCGATTGGGCTCTTGCAAGTACAAGGAGGGACCCATCCTCAAGATCCCAAAGGCTCGACGAATAGCCTTCAACCTCTGCCCATGTTGCGTATCTGGGTGTTTCTGGCAATCACGGTGAGCAAATAATCTGTTATACATTGATCATGCTGTGCTCAACGGAATGAGTTTGTTTGTTTTGTGACGTTTCGGACAGCTAGGCCAACTGTCTTTCGTCAAAGCGTATATTGACTCCATCGATCAGCAATTTAAAATTGTGGTTTTACGTGTTTGGGATGAGCTGATCGATATTTCACTGTTCGCTGCTTGGCTCTTTGTGTGTATTTTGGCATAGATTGACGGTAGTTGTGTTTCGTCACCACGGTAGGGGATGCTAGTCATCCGTTCCCCTCTTCCTGTGGTTTCGTCATTGGCCGTCCTCATTTGCGAATCATAAGTTCGGATTTATTTTGTCCTCTTTTTACTAACATACTGGCGTAGGATTTTGTAGGCCGTGGGAAAGTCGAGATGCCTATGGACGGAGTATAATGCCTCAAGCGTCAGTCTTTCCACTTTAAAGGTTCCTCGGCCTACGATGGTCGCTCCTTGAATATCGAAGTTGTGGTCATTCTTTCCAATATGTCTTGCAAGCTGCGCGCTAGGGTCTAATCTCCGAGCCGACGCTTTGTGTTCGTTTAGGCGGGTCTACAATTTGCGCCCTCTTTATCCAACGTAATTGCAGTCTCCATTGTTACCACTTATTTATAAGACAAATTCGGAAACTACAGTAGAGAGAAGTCTGTCATTAAGTTTCATCATGTGGCGGTGTATTCTCGCGTGAGTTTGATGGGCTATGTCTACTACAGTGTGTTGTAACAGTCGACAGACTGCTTTGGAGACTCTTTTTATGTAAGGAATGGTCCTCCAGACCTTGGGTTGCTTTCCTTTGAGTACCCGACCGAATAATTGGCCACCTAATGTTCTCCCAAAGGGCAATCTATATGTAGGTAGTCTGCCTCCTAGAAGATAACAACGTCTAAAAAATCAGCCCTCATTTGAGACACATTGGTGGTATTGTTGTATCAGAAATACGATAAAACAAAGGGTTTAAAATGAGCGTTAGTATAGCGTTGGTCAGCTAAATAAATCAAGTTTATTAGAACACAGGTCGAATGCGTTAAGAAGCTCGAACAGTTCACTGACGTCTGAAAGTTATTTTATTTTCTGTTCAGCAGGAATTCCTAAAGCAATAGTCTTGACGTTTTCCCTTGATCTTTTCACAAGCGTATATTGGAGCAGTATTTTATCCTTGGTTAAAACGTACACCTGACGTACACCAAAGGAACAGAATTGTTTTAACAGTTGCATCTGGTTTTCTGGTAAGATGTCGCATATGTATTAACAGGCACTGGTTAACCTGTGAAGTGTTCGTAACAAATGTCCGTGGGTTCCCTGGAAGGGTTCACCGCGTGGCCTCGGAGGTAGCTCCTACATGGACTCGTATATACAAGTAGCGGTTACAAGCAATTAAGATAGGGATAGGTTATGGAAACCGCCAGGCTTTAACTAAGTAGATTGTCCAGTTTCGGGGTAACTATTCCATACCAATGTGATGTACCCTTTTATCCACTAACTACTACCTTCATATAACTACATACACGAAGTTGTTTTGTTGTGGCATTTTAAATTTAAATTCCTTTTTTATGTACTGACAGTGGCGTTTTGTTCATAAAAATAAGTATAATTCTCAAATATCGTTGATATATATATATATATATATATATATGAGAAGAAGAGG